CAATAGTGAATGCGAAAAACACTTTTGAACTTCGTTCCCAGTAATACAGCGTCCTAGCGTCACTCAAAATGATATCAGTCATTTTGAGTGGTAAATCCACGCACGGAGCGTTACTCCATTTCAACCTCGTCTAGAGGTTTTTCATCTGATCTCCTCTTCAATGAATTGGCTCGCTCCCTGGTAAAAAAAAGTCCCTGGGTGAAACCACAAACTGACGATCGAATCGCACTTGAGTTATTTAGATGATGATCAAATTTTTTTTTAATGACATAAATTGATTGCTTTTATCAGAGAAAAACACCTTTATATTTATAGTGGCCATTATCTCTGTAAGCAGCTAACAAGAGGCTGTTCTTTTGGAAATGTTGTGTTTTTTTCATCAATTAGGCACATCTTCTTTCTTCACATATTTAAGACAAAAAAATGATGAGATTCAAAAAAATTAGATTGAAATTCGTTCAGTTGAAGACGATTTTACAATTTGACCTATGAATTTTTTTCAAGTCGTTCGTAGAGAGTGATAACTTGAAAGACCATTGGAATCTCAAGTGTTGAAAAATTACATTCCAAAACGAAACATCGGACACTCAATCGAAATAGGTCGCAAATCACGCATTCTTAAAATTGGCGATATTTTGATTGATTAAACTACCTTCAGTCAAAAATGATCTTATCGCGATGGTTCAATGTTTGAACAGCACTTTGCTTGTAAGAACTTGTTGAAATTCCCTTTGATACGTTCAGACTTTATTTGAGCAGGTTTAATCAAACTTGACTTTCAAATCTTAAGTGAACATTTCCCGTTTGATTTGAGCAAGATTTTTTTTTTGTAAATTTATACGAAAGAGGGTAACTATAGTTAAGTGAACATCTGTTAAGGACAAAATCTGTTGTTTTCAATCACACGATTTTTTTATTTTCTTCGATTTTGCATTTCGTTGTCAATCATTTGTTCTTCAATCCAATCAGAGTATGCGAAAACGTTAGTATAAACATCGGGATATCCATCACCACATCCAATACCCCATGACGAAATGCCAATGATTCGATCTAGGCCATCAATTTTTGCTACAAGTGGACCACCTGAGTCACCCTGTATTATCAAAACGATCAATACAATACTTCATTCAATATAAATTGAATATATATGACTTACGTTACAAGATCCCCGACCGATTGGATTCTTTGTACAGACGATATTTTCGCTGAATGTCATTTCGACTCGTTTAAATGCTGCTGGATTTTCTACTGAAAGCCTGGTCAGTCGAAAAGCACATTCTACCCAACTGATTGTGGTTGTTTTATGGTACTGGAGTTGATCGGGAAGTAGTACTTTTCTCAACGTGTTTATCTGCAAAAAAATGTATCATTCCTTTTCTAACAAGATTTTATTTCATATCGCGCTTTCTACTCACAATCCTTCCCCATCCAGCTCCGACTGCATTTAAATTACCCTGCTCTGGAACATCGGCTATTGGCAGCGCGATCGGTTGAATTCGAGCGGTGTAGTCAATTTTAGTGTAGGTGGTAATGATGGAAATATCATTGTGCATGAATGTTTTGTTGAATCCAGAATGAATGGTGATCCGTTTGACGTTTTTGCGTACACCATCATCGAGTCGATTAAAAACTCCCAAAGCTATGTATATGCTATCAGGTTGAAAACGTCGACCAATCAAACAATGACCAGCACTCAACACATTTCTTTGTGTAATCAAAGCTCCTCCACAAAAGTGCTTGTGGACTTTGGCATCTCGAATGGATACGATGTATGGAAATTCTTTTGCAGCCGCTTTTTCACCGTCAATTATTCGAGGTTTTACTTTGAATATAGCTTCAAATACCGAAACGCTGCTGACGAATAGCAGCAAGCTCAAGATCACAACAATACTACGCGGAAGCATTTTCCCAGGGTTCGATAGAGAAACAAATTCGTGAATGATCGAGAGAATTTCATGCAATTTATGTGTTTTCAAAATAAACACGAAACGACTGAAGTAAGCGCTTGTTTCTATAGAAATAAAACCAATCTATCTTTATAATTGACGCTTACGATAACACATTATATTTCAAGTTGAACAGTAAACGATTGATAAAAACACAGGGTTTATAAGATAGATTAGACAAAAAAGTACATTCGTTTATTCAAAGTCGATGAGTATTTCCTATCAATTTATATGAAATTTGACCAATTTAATCGCTGAAATTAATGAAAATGATAAAAATAACAATGTTTTCTAATTTCTTTGTGCATAATTCAAAAGCTCTTGAAAGAACCTACGATTTTTGGTTTTCATTGAGTCACTTTTGCTCGCAACTTTATTTGTCTCTTTTTTGCTTTAAGTTTTTTTTTCCGTCTCACAGTTATGGATAAAGAGCTTACAATTTGTTCTTTTATTCTATGGGTGTCATTTACATTGTTTGCATAGACGTTGCCATATTCGATAGCATAACCATCATTATTGAATTTCATCAACGTTTTTCAGATTCTCCTGCCTTAAGAATTTGGTCCACACAATATTCGACGGATTTAGCTGCAGCTCCAGTTGGTCCACCTTTGATAACACCCCCAACGGCGTGTTCTCCGTCGCCCTCAACAACAACTTGCACCAAAATAAATTTGTGAAAACAATGGAAAATGGTGGCGCTTGCCCATTTCGACGCTTCTATTGGCACGTAATCAACCCATTTGCCCATGTGTTCTTTGCCATCGAAGAACCAAACATCTCTGTCAATCGCCGTCTGTGCGATCCACTTGCTTGTATCATTACTCGCTGCACCGATCCATTTGATTCCCTCAGTTCCAAAGCTTTTAAGAATAACCCAACTTTTTACTTTTTCTTTTGCACTGTTAATCATATTGCTAGATCCGTCTATAGCACGTCCAAACCACTCGGATACACCTTGTTTTGAATTGGTAACCCAATTGCTCGATCCGTCTATAGCTCGTCCAAACCACTCAGATATACCTTTTTTCGAATTGGTAACCCAATTGCACGATCCGTCTACAGCTCGTCCAAACCATTCGGATACATCTCGTTTTGAACGATTTGTATTTTTCACTTGAAACAAATTCGCTTCTGCTGCGGATGATGGCTCAAGTAGTTTGATTGATACTTGTTTCATCGTTCCATTAACTGTCACTTCAGAATTATTATGTGATCCATCAAAGTTGTCGTCACTAAACAATATATATATATATATATATATTCAAGCAATGTATTAAAATGATGACGCACATCGCATTTTACGTTAACTTACACAATTCCACTGGGCAGTTGTAATGACAGATGCACATCAAATAACATTATAAATAAAATGATCGCACATCTCGAAACCCTTTTCTGGACCATTTCAATTTGTTGCGTTCTGCTTTTTAATCGAATTATAGGCGATGCTGCAAGCTCAAAGTACTTATTTCGATTGAATTAAATTGAAAACATTAGCACCATGTTTGATAAATCACAACGAAACCATCACAAACGCTTATCACTATACAAACGAAGGTTAAACGTTTCGTTTATGGTGGCGAAGTATCATTTCTTCGAATAGAGCCATTTTACACTGCTTGACAAATATTTCGTTTGACTATCTCTTCTTCGAAAGAGGAATGAAGAACTTCAAGTCAAGTTTATTCGGGGTAGTAACGTTTCTTCGAAAAGAAGAATAAAGACTTTAGAAGCGTTCAGATCAGTGTTTATGATCTTCGGCGAAGTGGTCGCGAGATTTTGCGGAATACATGCATAGATCGTCATAGCTGAGCTCGGTTTTTCTATGGGTTATTTTGAGCATACGAAAAATTAAACGACAGTTTATTATTGAATGTCATCACACAATTTATGACTCACAAATGCAACTGTTATTTATTTGTTGGTGCTATTTGTATTTCCACTAATAGAATATTCCAGAGAGGCACTTCGATTGCTTGATTTTACGGAAAATAACCGAATGGTTCATCACAACAAAAACAAACTAATGTATGCTCTACAGGTTCTCGTTCTATTTTTGGATTCCCGAAGGATCGTTTGCCAAAAATTTCAGCTCAAAAGCGCATAAACTGCGATGAATATAATAAAATACACTGTCCAGCGAAAATTTGAACCGAGTTTTTGTTTACGGAACTGAATTAAGACGTTTTAGTGACTGTAAAATTGTATTTTCATCACTCTTTGCGTGATACCCTGTACATTTACCATGGTACCATAGACAAATGTAAATACAAATCATCATTATCAATCTACATTGAACTATGAAAATGGAATATGACACAGTGATACAAATTTGCTTTGTGTACTTTTGATAATAGAGACATGTTGTTGTTCAGTTCATTTGTTTCGAGATTTCAAAAGAAGAATGACTAAGCGATTGAATCAGGATCACACATTAATTCCATATTCAATGAATATTATTCATTGCATATTATGCATGTCGACGCGTGGGCGTATTCCTAATCAACATTACTTTTTTACGAGATGATCAACTATCAAAACTATGATCAACTTCTGCTCTTGGGAACGAAACTATGTTTGCTTCCTGCTTTAATAGTTTAAAAACGCCCAATTGTTCTCTCTCTTTTATAGATTGGTTCAAACATTCGCTGAGTAGTGTATTCTATTTCACCCATACTCAGTTTTTATGTTCTATTTATCTTCATATATTCCTTTTCCTTTGCATGGAATGCGAAGAAAAGTATCGGAACTACTCGAAAATTTGAGATGCAAAAAAATTGGTGCACAATTTTTGATGTCAATGTGTCGATTAGGTTGCTATCGATCTGTCTTGACCCAATGCTAAAACATAAAAGCTGATTGAGTCGAGTTAACTTGTACTTTTGAATTAAGTTGTACTCACGGCGAAAAGTTCGTCTTACATTGTCACTGTTTGTGTTCTGATTTCTATTCTCAAATGTGTGGCACGATATAAATAAGTGACACTGAAAGTGTTGAGGTCAGTGTGGATTCAAATTTCATACCATTCAAATCGGAGATTCAATTAACTCACAAGATTTTAAGTCCAAAGCGATCTGCTTCTTGCTATAAAAATCAGTTGATTCATTGGTATAGTTTTAAATTCAAACATTCGTGATCATCATTATTCAACTTTGAATCGGTGGAAAAAAAATGAATATCGGTTTGGTTGTGATTTTCTGTTTGCTTGGAATCGGTATGTATCGAAAAGTGTTTTTGTTTTGAAATGTTTGAATCAAACGACAAAAATAAGTGAAATTGACACATAAACGATAGGATTAACGATAATAATGGCTCCATTCAAAATGGAAATAAATTGGTTCTGTGTTAATAAAACCCAATAAAATGCTTTATTTGTCAATCTTTTTTAGTATGCGGAAAGACATTTGACTATGTCGTAACGGGGTCTATTGAGAGCGTTTTTTACGGATCGAGTAAAGAGTGGCCGTGCTACGTTGCGGTACGTAGTAACGACGAAAATAATTCAAATACATTGTTCTATCATGCAGCCAACAATATTCCGATTTGTGAATTTGCCGAACGATCACGAACCAAAGATGTGCAAGTTAATTTATATGGTAAAACTTATCCAGGACAAAATAATGCGGTAGACAGCATTGAATATTCTGATACAAATGCCAAATTCTGGTATCGCTATTGACTTTCATTTATTCAGTCGAAATGAGATGAGATATTTTAACCATGGACAAATTGCTTCAATCTATTTTACTTCGCTTCATTTTAAGTTCATTGTTGAATAATGATTATTTTAATTAAATATTTACATGAGCAATGAAAATAAATCTCATACAGAAAAAAAATCAAATATTTTGTGCATTTTTTTATTTTTGGCTACTTTCGCAGTTCAAGAACATGCTTATGCGTTTATTTGGTGCATTATTATACATGTTGCAAAATATTTTCATTGGCCCATGCTAATGACTGTGTGATCGATAGTCACCTGCGTACGTATTTCTTTAGTATAGTGGGCAAACACCAGTACGAACATTGCCGTTGGCCATGCTGGAGTCAATGTGTTGGGCAACGTCATTGATTTCAACGATTCTTCAATAAAATCTATTTTTTTAATACAAAAAATTATATACAGTCATGGACTAAATTGAGCGTACGACTGCCAGAAAAATGTATCGCGGACTATTTCATGAACCTAATTTATTTTTTTCAATCAATTCTTTGCACTGTTTGTTGCGTAATTATGTGAACTAATAGTAGCCGAGAGAATTTTGAATTTTTTTTTTTGGATTTTGTGATTTTTATTGAAAAATGTAGATGAATGTCATTTTTGTGCTGGACAAAATTGAGCGTACGGTACGTTTAATATTTGTTTAAATAGAGAAAATTCATGGAAATTGAAAAAGAGGGGATACAGTATGATGCACAAGCTCATGTTGCTTCGAAATGGTATATATGTTTTGCTCCACCGAACCGTTGTTTGGGAAATGGAGACGGTTAAACTTTTTTTTATTTTTCACTTTTATCACCTTCAACACATATGAATATTTCTTGAACCAAGAATGATATTGAAGCATCTTAACCGGCGTTTGAAAACTTGAGGTTAGACCAACGAAATGCAATAATAACCAACCAAATATTTCAAGTACTTTAAAAGATACAGCCGTGAAAGTATGACAGCTGATGTCAAAATAGCGCCATTTATTTGACATTTGAGGTTATAACTCACAAATGGAAATTATTTTGACATCTTGTCTTGATCAAATTTACTCTACTCATCAAGTGCTACAACTATGCT